CAATGTCGACGACACGGACGATGACGATGAGCCTGTCACGGTAACACCAGACAAGAGATCAAAAAGACTAAAAAGGGACAGTCACGTGGAACGTGCCGCCCTGATCCCCCTGATCCCAAAAGTATCCCCCTGAACCCTATGTGGTGCAAGAGCCTGTTGACTTACTGGTCGATGTGGCAGATGCAGGAAAGGGTGAGAGATATATGAAGGAGCTGGTGAGCTCAGTGAGTGCTATGGGTAGTAGACGAGGAGAAACAATCTGAGGTTTCGTCCCCTACATGGCTGGTCTTATATACACGTACAGCGGGCTATCTTACCTAAGCTACCTATCTACGGGTATAAGCAAATGGCCATACATGAAACAATAGGATGTCCGGAAGTAGAATAATAAGTGGGAAGATCGATGGTTGCCGCAGTAATGCGTGTGCACATCGTGCCTATCTTGGTTTCCCTTTTGTTCTCCGGTGTGAACATCGTACCTATCTAGGCTTCTGGCTAAACTAATAGGAAGCAGAAGGCCGATGCATAATGATAGTCCTTGTTCCCTTTGTTCCCAAATGGGTGCCTCTATTGTATCCTAGAATAGACAGGTCCGACCATATCATCCACGGGTCTGGACCATAACATGTGATGTGGACTATCACCTGATCTCTACGCGTCACGTCTGTGGCTGAGTGGCGTGAGATATTGGTGAAGCACATGATCTGTGGTGTGAGAAAAGTCACGTGCAGACTTTGTGGCAAAAATCTGTGACACTACCCCCCTCTCAAGGCTCATTGTCCCGAGGAGCCAAAACCTTTATTACCCCTTCTAGTTGCTTGCAATGGTTGGTAGCTTCAGGAGGGAAGCCCTTCTGCATAATACTCGAAGATTATTTGGGCTATTCTATCTCCCGGCTTGACCGAAAATACGAAATCCGTTGTGTTGATTAGTACGACCTTGAGTTCCCCAGTGTAATCTGGATCGACGACTCCTGCGCCCATGTCAATTCCTCATGCAGCCAGTCCGCTGCATGGAGCTATTCATGTATAGGTATGTTTAGGAGGGTCAATCACGACTCCCGTTCCTACCACAGCTCGTGAATGCGGGGGGATTTCATGCGTTTCTGCTGCATAAATATCCCATCCTGCTGCTTCATTTGAGGATTTTTTCGGTGATTTGGCGAGATCTGTCATCTTATGATATAGGAAGAACTTGTCTGGATGGTCGGACATATTGATTCGGTGTGTGGAGATCGGTGCAACTTCATATGAGGATAATTCAAAGTGTTTTCCACCAAAAGTGACGACCCTGATTGGTGCTTTGGCTGCATCTGGGTGTTGCTGGTGGAATTCTTGAAGAAGCTCGTCGGCATTGGTAAGATTCGTTTGGGGTTCCCATGTATCGTCGGAATGGTCATAGCCTTTCCATTTGACGAGGTATTGGACCCTTCCTCTTACGACCTTCGAGTCTAGTATTTCCTCAACTTCGAATTCTGGTTCTCCTTTGATTTCTATAGCTGGGGGCTTTGGGGGTTCACGGTTTGCGACCGTGTCTTGATGGTACATGATCAACTTGCTAGCATGGAAGACCAGGTGGACCTTCATTTGCTTAGGAAGTTCCAGTTTAAATGTGACTGGGCCTAGCTTCTGAAGTACTTTGTAAGGTCCGAAGTTTTGTGTGCCTAGCTTCGCGGACTTGACTTTTACTCTGAGGTCCTTTCCCTTGAGTAGTATCAGGTCTCCGACTTTAAATGGGACTTCTCCCTTTTTCTCGTCGAAGTACCATTTCATCCGTGAAGCCGAAACTTCTAATGCTGCCTTTGCCTGTTCTTGCGCCTCGGATCTGTGGGTGAATAGATGTTCCAATGAGGGATGACGTATCGATTCGTGTACATCTGGTGCCATTTTTAGATGTCGGCCATATTCGACAAAGAATGGGGAAAGTGCAGTGGATTCATGGGTCTGGTTGTTGTATGAAAATTCTGCTGTCAGCAGGTAATAGACCCAATCGTTCTGTCTATGGTTACAGTACATTCATAGATACTGTTCCAACACCTGGTTAACCCTTTCTGTCTGACCGTCTGTCTGGGGGTGATATGCGGTGGACATTGTTGACTTTATACCGAGCTTCTGGCAGAACTCCTGGAATAGTTTGCTCGCAAATTGAGTACCTCTGTCTGAGATAATTTGGCGCGGCAATCCGTGGAGTTTGAAGACTTCGTTATAGAATACGTTAGCGACTTGCGACGATGTGACTGTATCATCCGTTGCATAAAAGTGCGCTCGCTTCGTGAGTCTGTCCACGACGACAAGTATTGCTGTCTTCTTCTCTCCTCTAAAGTCCGTGGCTGAAGGAAGTTGTGTGATGAGATCTACTGTGACAATCTCCCAGGGTCCTCCTGGTACCTCGTTTGGTTGTAGTAGTCCGTATGGTTTTTCTCTTGAGTACTTGTTGCGTTGACAACTGTCGCAACCTTG